AGCTAGCCATGTATGTAGATCAGGCTAGCCTCAAACTTAGAAACCAATCTGCCTTTACCTCCAAAATGCTGGGATTGCAGTCACATCACCACACCTGGCCTCAAGCTTACTTTTAAAACAGCTCTAGATTCCTATGCCGTTCACTGACAGCCTGGCTGCCTAAGAGAACGCCAGGTCTTTGAAATGTTAGCACTGGGATGTATTGTTTCCCAAAAGTCCTGTGGCGCCTTCCTCAGTTTGCAAAATCAACTGGTAGAAAACACAATGTGGTCATGTAAAGACTCTATTCTCTGAGCCTCTTAGGCCAATGAGATGAAAGCTGTACGTACAGTCTTAGTATCTTCTCTAGCATCCATCCCATGACCTGCCCCATCCCATAACCACCAGAACGGTAATGACAACCGTAGCCATACATGTTAGAGTTGTGATTTGTGAGCCAAAGGGAAGAGTATTCATATAGTGGAAATGAGAGCATTCCAGGAGCAAATCAGAAGGACAAATCCTTCTTGGGACTGAACAAGCAATTTCATTCCTGGAGAGTGTAAGAAAATACATCTTAGACAGTTACTTACTGTCTTTGGGATTAAGACCAGCCTTGGTGAAGTTAAAACTTGGCAAACTTGAGTCTGCTCTGAGCTCACATAGTTTTACGCATCTACTTTTATAAGAAGGTGTCTTGGCACAGCCGGAGTGGACACATAGGTTCTGCATTGTGTGGGATAGGTTTGGACCCAGCGATTATGCGTATACCACAGTTGGCAAAAACCTGTGGTCCAGTCTATGTATTTAACAGGTTGAGTAACTGCTTGCCATATGAGCTGAAGTTTTGCCTCTGCTTATGTGAGGATAACCAGTGTCTTCACTGACACTGTTTTGCCTTGTAGCTGTACAGGATAAGTTGGACCAAATGGTATTCATCTGGGGAAGCATCCACACGCTGGTAGAAGAACGGGAAGCCAAACTGCTGGATGTGATGGAACTAGCAGAAAAATTCTGGTGTGATCACATGTCACTGGTCGTTACCACCAAAGACACACAAGATTTCATCCGGGACCTGGAGGATCCCGGAATCGACCCCTCAGTCGTAAAGCAGCAGCAGGAAGCAGCAGAGGTAAGTTAACAGTTAACTCTGTTGAACTACAAAAGAAAAGAACAAAGTTCAAGGAGACAACACCCCAATCCTGTTAAAATTTGTATCTGGTTCTGACCAGATACAAATATCTGGAATGCATAGTGAGTACCAAGATACTATGGACTCTCAGATGTCGCTTGGAGATTGTCCCTAAGGTCTTCTCTCTGCACCCACACTGCTCATGTCTGTGTCAAACACACACAAAGTAAAGACAGGATGTCTGCCCTTCCTGGCCCCCAGCCTTGCTGCTGACTCTATCCTGCTGCTTGAAATCCCTCAGATGTGCCCGCCGTCCACTGGGTAAAGCCTGACTTTGCAGGGCAGGGTATGCAACTTTGTACACACAAGCTGGTGGCCACGCTGCCACAGGCGTTCCTCTGTTCCTTTAACCCTGTGCTCTTCCATAGTCTTGTTCCTCAACCCAGCAATCATTTCTGCCACCCCTGTGACAAGCGTCAAGGTTTGGTTGGATTATTACCCACCCTGTGTCCCAATGTTATTTTCATCTTTGTAGTAAAGATTTGGCATTAGATGGTACTATTTTCTCTAAAATTTTTTGTTTTTGTGTTCTAAAAATGACTTGGGAAATAAAAGAAAACAAAGTACTCACATAGGAACCCCTCCACGGGCAGCTCCGCGTGACCCCTTGTCTTGGTTTTGGTGTGGCTTTACGTGGTGTTCTGAGGCTCTGCTTTGAATTCCAGGCAATAAGGGAGGAGATTGATGGGCTGCAAGAGGAGCTGGACATGGTCATCATGCTGGGCTCGGAGCTCATCGCCGCATGTGGGGAGCCCGACAAGCCCATTGTCAAGAAGAGCATAGACGAGGTACCCATGTCTTGTTTTCCACATTTGTAAGAATGCCTTCTTCGGGATTTAGCCGAACAACACCCGTTTTTTATGAATAGTCAAAAGTTCAAATTTGACATTGAAAGGACTCTAACATTTGTTTTGTAGTTAAATTCAGCATGGGATTCTCTAAATAAAGCTTGGAAGGACCGGGTTGACAAACTGGAAGAGGCCATGCAAGCTGCCGTTCAGTACCAGGACGGATTGCAGGTGAGGTGACCCCCACGTCTGCTGTTCTCAGCCGGAAACAGGATCTCGTTCATGGATGTCTGTACCTCGACGCGCTGGTTCCAGCCCAACACTGTGGCTGTGTGTGCAGCTACAGACAAATCTGTTCCCGTAGTCGCAGCTACTCTGACTCAGCCTTTTTAGAAGATATTTCTTACCTTTTAGACATACAGATTTATACATACGTCTGAACGTGGATTAGTACACGCATCCATGAAATCTGCTTTGAAGAGAAGTATTCTAACAGTTTTTTTTTTTAAACCGAAAGTAAATATTCCCACACTGTATTTTCCATAAATTGTTGAGCGCCCGGCAGTGAAGTGGCCGGGGACAGACTCTGAGTTCTGTTCCAAAGCTGAGTGCAGTAAGATGAAAGGAATAAACGGGTACCCAGGCTAAAAATACCACCAAGTTTAACCGAAGCCAGAATTAAAGAGAACCGTCGCAAAGCTGGTGCTCTCCCCGTGTACTAAAATAGAATTCTATTTTATTGGCTCATAACTGGCCGTATCAAGGTGCTTTCTTCTTTTCCATATATATAATCATTGAATCAGTGGTTTGTCATATCTCTTCAGGGTTCCCATTTGGTTCATTAGCCAGTCAGAAACTGACTTTTAATATTAAAGTTTTCTTCAGGCCAGCTCAGGGCTGTACCTTCTCTACCCTTCCCTTGGTCCTGTTTCCTAACAGGTTGGCAGGAGTTTAATCTTCCATTCTTCTTACTGCATGGAAAAACTCTCTCAAGTATTTCCATAACACCGAGGTGAATATTATTTTTAAAGCTCACATGAGAACATTTTTTTCTAACCTCTTTCAGTATGCCTCTTCTTCCTAGGTCTGTAAAAATAAATATCACCAGCCAGGCTTCACGCCAGCTGGAAGGGCCTTGGAAATACATGGAATAATTTTTCGTGACAAAAAACACTTCATTGTAACTCCCACACGTGTGTGTACACTTGCACAAGCAAAGTCATGATGTCTCGCTTCGTAGTGAGTGACCAGTGATGACCACATCAGGCTCCCGGTCTGTGTGTGGGACATTACATCATGAGGGCGGGTGTTTTGAATGGGATTGTTTTCCATGGCTAGAGAAGATACTGCTACTGCCTGCATAAGGTCTCACGAAAGCCATGTGATGTGACACAGACTCCTCACCAACAGCAGGAAACACAAGCTTGCTCACAGGACTGTTGGTCACAAAGGGCAACCTGAGTCACTAAGTTGCATTGCTGTAGCTGTAATGTGGTTCTAGGTACCCCGGAGCGCTCAAGGCTTGATTATAACGTGAGATTCACTTTCTTCCCGGGTTGCTGCTTAAGTAATTGGGGTTGTTCAGTGGTTGTTTAAACGTATCAGATAGTTTATAGGGTTTCTCTTCTGTCAGTTTCATTAAATGTAAAGTAATTCTGTTATACATTCAACTACCTTAAAAAAAAAAAAGTGTGTGTTAAGCCTTGTAGGATGTGTAGAAACCTTGAAGGAACAGAGAAAGTAGGGGACAGTGAAGTCTTTCGCAGTCATGGTCCCTTTAATGGTACGTGTGTGCAGGATTTTAACGGTAGCCTAGGGAGTGTAGGAAGGTTAGATGAACCACTAAACAGTGACGTTCTTGGTTGTTTGAATAAATAGATTCACTTGGATCTTTTTCTTACAGTATATTTTTATATAAGCAAATGGGACGTTCCGCTTCTATGGTTGAATATGTAAACGTTTTCAAATGAACTTTTTCTTTGAAAGTGCTTGATAATTTAAGAATAGGATTCCCTTTTGCCAGCTTCGGTGCCGAATTGGAGGTGACATTTACTTGACATTTGAGGACCTGTTTTATATTACTGTTTCTATTTGGGTAAACGGTCTTTGTTTTAAAAAAAGTTTCAGCCAGTTAGAATCTGACTTTTAATATTAAAGTTCTCTTGAGGCCAGCGCCTTTCGTAACATCTTCGAGCTCTCACCTGTCCCCGTAACACCGGAGCCGTGGCCATTTCTGAGCCCTGTGCTAACACATGGAAAATGTGTCTTGCAGGCAATATTCGACTGGGTTGATATTGCAGGCAACAAGTTAGCCACAATGTCTCCAATTGGAACAGACCTGGAGACGGTCAAGCAGCAGATTGAAGAGCTAAAGGTAAGTGTGGAGCTCCCAGTTGGTAAGGGACTGCCTATAAAGTTCCTTAAGTCACCGATTCTCCAGGTTTCCTGCCTAAGTCCACTCAGTTGGCATAACTGAAACATTACACACGACCCCCAAACTGTGCTGTTTATTTCTATTGCACGTATTTATAATCGTGTGTGTCTGTCTTTGCACACAGGTGTACCATCCACACAAGGAAGTCAGAGAACAGGAATCAGACTCAGGTTGCCGGGCTTGGTAGCAAATAACTTTCCCCACTGATCCACTTCACAGGCCCTAAAATTGATTTAGAATAATATCTACATGTAGAAAGTATAAATAAGTGCTTTTTAAAAAAAAATATGAGCCAGGCAGTGGTGGCGCACGCCTTTAATCCCAGCACTTGGGAGGCAGAGGCAGGCGGATTTCTGAGTTCGAGGCCAGCCTGGTCTACAGAGTGAGTTCCAGGACAGCCAGTACTACACAGAGAAACCCTGTCTCGAAAAACCTAAAAAAAAATAAATAAATAAAATAAAATAAAAAAATAAGCAAAGGTGGGGCGGGGCAAGATTAGTAACTCACTCCAAAAGCCATGTACTTAAAAGCAGCTATGCCTACCTTTTGACATACAGCCCTTCAGATAGCCTCCAATTTGAAGGGAGGGTAGGTATATTTGGGGGGGAGGGCCAAATTTGAATCATGCCATTGAGACTTTTATAATGTGCCTCATTATTCAGTAGTCTGTTGCCATTAGTATAATTGACATATTATTGTAATATCAGCCACTAATGAATATCAGAGGTTCAAGTAAATATTTTCTATTGCTAATAAGATGTTGGTTGGCAAAGTGAAGACCATTAAGTGCCTGTCAGTCCTATGGGAAAGAGCGAGAAGGAGGATGTTATTCTAAAGCCATGTATGATGATCAGATCTGTAGTACCCATACTTGTGAGGCTGAGGCAGGAGGATTGCCATGGGTCTGAGGCAAGCCTGAGCAAATTAGGGGTGAAGGGCCACCCAGAGCTATGTGGCAAGAGCCTTTCTTGCTAGTGGTAATTGTAATAATTATAAATTACTTTGCACTAACAGTGGGACATAGGAGTAATTATTAACAAACGCCACACAGCTGTAAAAACATGAAAATTATGAGGGAATGCATACTGTGTGCCTGTCTGAGATCAGGAATTCCTAAATTCCTTAAAGGCGTCATTTCTAGAGTTTCATATGCACTAATATAAAACCAGATATTAAAAAATGTTCCTCCATGGGATGTATTAAATTTTACTGTGCAGAATAAAAGTGAAATACCAAAATTATAACTATTCATAAACTATGAATAAAAGAGAGAAACTTCTACCTCTTTGCTTTCAATGGGACTTGTGAGCTTGAGAGTTATTTCTGGTTTATTTTTTTAAACATTCCTCTGGTGTTTTGTTTTGTTTTGTTTTGTTTTGTTTGTTTTGTTTTTCACAGCAATTCAAGTCAGAAGCTTATCAACAACAGATAGAAATGGAGAGGCTGAACCATCAAGCAGAGCTGTTGCTGAAGAAAGTAACAGAGGAGGTTGACAAGCACAGCGTCCAGGACCCGCTGATGGAGCTGAAGTTGATATGGGATAGCCTGGACGAGCGAATCGTCAGCAGACAGGCAAGCACCAAGGCTTGTGTGCATGCAGACAGTAATGGAAAACTACAGTTAATATCAGTAAACTTCAGAAGCACCTAAATCACCTTATTAAAATTCTTCCATTTGTGCTGTATTTAAACACACACACAATCAAATTAGAGTTGTTGACCAATATGAGTAGATTCATGAGCTATGGGGACGGGCCTGGTGGCCATTCAACAGTTGGCCTTTACCCTCGTTTTGTAAGCGCTCCTCATTTACGATGCCCGGGTCTAAGCAGATTTTTCTCCTCTGCTTCTTGGCAGCACAAGCTTGAGGGCGCTCTCTTGGCGCTGGGTCAGTTCCAGCACGCCCTGGACGAGCTCCTCGCGTGGCTGACTCACACCAAGGGCTTGCTAAGTGAACAGAAACCCGTTGGAGGAGATCCGAAAGCCATTGAGATTGAACTCGCTAAGCATCACGTACGTACTGTTGCTGCCTGTCACCGTCACTGCCCCAGGTTCTTGACGTTGTGATTTTGACAGAGATTGTCTGGCATTAACTTGCTTGAAGTGTGCTGCCCAAGAGGGCACAGTGTTAACATTGCTAAGTTAACGTCGAATACTTTTGGAGATCGTAGGAAGTAGCTTAAAAACTTGCAGGCTGAAAATGCTGTTTGTCCTACCAGGGCTTTTAATGTCTCTGAGCCTCTGGGCAGCAGTAACTTGCCAGAATGACTCTTTATAAAAACAAACTATGCTTGTTCTCATGGAATGAGTTTATAGAAGCATTTACGTCTTAGGAAATCTGGCAATTGTCTTAAAAGCACCAGTGATTAGAACTAGTGTGTAGTGGGGGAGGGAAGTCAGACACCCAACCTGGTTATTTCGGCTGGAGATCTGTGGGAACCTTTTAACTCTGTCCATGTGACTAAGAAACAGGCCCTCTGGCCTTCTAGCCTTTCAAGACCAGTGTGTAGTGACTTGAGAATGCCAAAAACCAAGGCTGAAAGAAAGTTTCTATCCTCTGCTCTCCAGTCTCCACTGCCTCTGAGCATCAGAGAAAGGAATTCGATAGAATTGTCCTATAGATGTAGACACCGGCAGTATTTAACTCTCAGACCTTGAGGAAGTGTTTCCTGCTGCTAACATGTCAAAGAGCATGCTTTGCAGAACATGACTCTTTACTCAGTCGGGTTTGTGCCTTTGGAAAACTCTGACTCATCAGATGCCTCAGAAACTGATTCTATCGCCAGAGAAGGAATACTCTGGGGGCCGCCTGTCTCATCTGGAAAGCCTCCCGGGTCTGGGTTCCTCTCCAGATGTGTGATGTCTTACATGGGATAAGAGATGACATTCTTTTCTTGATTGTTGCCAAACATACATCAGTGAGTGGTAGGGTAGGGTTATAATGAACTCTCTACTAACGCTAGGCGAAGGAGTCTTTTCAAGTCAGTGGTTTCAGCATCCCTTCAATGAGAGAATAAACTGATATATTTCTTCTTTCAAAAAGTCATTATAAAACATGTCTTAGATATGCGATAGTGTTATATTCGGAAAATGAGTATAACGGAGTAAAAGTATCCCTCAGGACATTAGGATTGAGTTAAATTAAAATGGACTTGAATCAATGAAAACATCTTAATCATCAAATTATAATCTCTACAAAAGTATGTAGTGTATCAGTTACAAGGTCACCCTAGTGGTAATAGCTGTCAAGTGTTCGTGCAGTCCCTTTGAGACTGCCAGTCAACTAAAAGTGCATCCATCTGGGAACCCACAAAGTTGGAGGGAAGGAAGTCTGTTGCTTTTAAACTTGCTATTAACACTTTTGATTATGAGGCTTTGGCTTCAGAATGTTTCACACCCAGAAAATGAAACAGGCACAGAGCACTAGAGGTATGGTTCAGGCGCTAGGTTCCTTACCCAGCATACATAAAGATGTAGGTTTGATCCCTCGGCAATACCTAAAACTCAATATGCTATCCCACACCTGCATTCCCAGCGCTCAGGAGATGGAAACAGCTGAGCAGTGGTGGTGCACACATTTAGGACTCCAAAACAGGTAGATCTCTGTGAGTTCCAGGCCAGCTTGTTCTATAGTGCAAATCCCCAGGACTGCCAAGGCTACACAGCAAAACCCTGTCTTGGAAAACAAAACAACAAACAAAATAAAAGCAAAAAAAGTTAAGTGTCTTTAGCTACATGTTGAGTTTGAGGCTTGCTTGGGACAAGTGAGGCCCCTCTCTGTTACTGTGTCTTCAGTGAATGATCATGCTAACGTTTTCAGGTACTCCAAAACGACGTCTTAGCCCACCAGTCCACGGTAGAAGCCGTCAACAAAGCAGGAAATGATCTCATCGAGTCAAGTGAGGGCGAAGAAGCAAGCAACCTCCAGTACAAGCTCAGAATTCTAAATCAGCGCTGGCAGGATATTTTGGAAAAAACAGATCAAAGGAAGCAGCAGCTGGACAGCGCCTTACTCCAGGTGACTAGAGAGAGTCTCAGTGGTGTCAAGGCTGAAGTGACATGGGTGTGCCCGCTAGCCCTCAGATGCAGGTTTAATGTTGATGCTTGAAAGAAAGGAGTAAAAATAATTGGGATAAAGCACAAAGCTGATAAGAAGGCGGGGCTTCAGCTCTTAGCCTAATACCCTTATGTCCGAGTTTCCCCGGCGTGTTTGGCATGCTTAGGTAGTGAGCCGCTGGGCCTGGCGCCTGGCACTCTAATGAGACGCAGAGACAGTTTAACAGGCTGGGCCGTGTGGACCTTGATGGAGAGTGATAGTATCTGTGACACAAACTTAAAAGCCACCTGTCACTGCAGGCCAAAGGGTTCCACGGTGAAATCGAAGATTTGCAGCAGTGGCTGACGGACACAGAGCGTCATCTCTTGACATCCAAACCTCTAGGTGGTCTCCCAGAGACAGCCAGGGAGCAGCTTAACGCACATATGGTATGTATGATAATTTCCTGCACCCGTGGCCCTCATCATACATATGTAATAATGGGAAAACATATGGTTAAAAAAAAATTAAGTTTTGTGGCAGAAATCACTACGTGTAAATGTTAGAAACAGTACCATTTAGCAATTAAATTTTTCAAATAAGGACCTGTCTCAGAGGTTAGGATGTCAGCACATGGAAAAAAGTTTTAAAGCAGTCTAGCCATTGAGTATCAGTCCTATGCTCATACTCTGTGTGTGTGTGTGTGTGTGTGTATGTGTGTGTGTGTTACACACACAACAAGCAATGTATCAGTTATAAACTGTTATCCCCTGAAGTATAAAGAAAGACACTTCTCTAAAATAATTCTATAATTGAATATAATCGTAACTAATATAATAATCATGTGCACATAATTCCTGTAATCCTGTGGTTTGGGTTTGCTGTTCGCAGCTGGGTGAGACTCATTTGCTGGAAGAACAATTGTTACCAACTACTTCAAGAAAACCTGGAATGACGTTTACATAGTTCCTTACTTCCCTGGACATTCTTAAACCTTTTTCATGTAGTTCATTACTTGTTAACTAACTAATAAAGACTTCTGTCTCCAGAGTGTTACCCATTAAAAGAGCATAAGAACTTGAAAGCAGAGAACTTGCCTTTAGAAATTTCAGAAAACCACACTATATATAAAATACTTAGTTTGCACGGGATACACAAAATGAACTTCATGTGATTTCTCTCTGTGATTTCTTTGACTAAAAATTTCATGTTTAAAAACAAACAAACAAACAAACAAACAAACAAAAAACTGCAGAGCGCCTGGAGAGATAGCCCAGCAGTCAAGAGGCTTTATTGTTCTTCCAGAAGACCAGAGTTCATTTCTCAGCACCTCCCTGACAGCCCACAACCACCTTTAAGCCTAGTTCCAGGGTATCAGATTCCTGCTCCTGGCCTCCTTGGGCTCCTGCTTGCACACGGTGCACACAAACCCACACACCTACACATACATTTAAAGATGAAATCTTTCCCAACAGATTAGAAAGCATTGTAATGCCAGGGCACTGGTTTCCTTTTGATCTGGTTGTACTAGAATGAAGATAAGAACAAAATAAGTTTTCACTTACCTGAGGCTGCTTCAGAACTTAATGATTTTTAACAACGAAACTGTCAATATGCTTGTTTTTTTGTTTTGTTTTGTTTTTGGGTTTTTTTTATGTGCTGTTTTTTTTTTTAGGATGAAGAAATAAGGCTTTTATGATGAAGATATAGTTAGTGGTAATGGGTAGATGGCATTATAACTGCGCTCACATCACGGAATAGTGCATTCCAAGTGGTTAATTTTATAAAATTACCTTTCATTTTTTAAAATTAAGTTGAAAATATCAGTAAGATATAGAATATATAATTTTCCATTATAACTGTGAATGAGTCCACATTATAATTCAATCAACAAGATACACAAACTGTCTTAGTTTTTGATGAGTTGTATCCATGGTTTCATTGACGATGTGATTAGTACTTTAGCAGGACTTCCCTGTATTCACTGTAGAGGATATATACAGCATGCTCGTTGGCAACATTTACACATTAAAATAAACATTTAAAGTTTTACCAATGATTTCTCAAATGTGGCCCCAGTAACCTGGCAGTCTTTCTATCAACTTGTATCTTTCTTACTCAGTCTTTGTTTTCTGTCCATCACATGTTTCCTGGGTACAAGATTAAACTACCAATTCTTTCTTTTAGTTACTATACGATGGTAAAAAGGGCATAGATGTTTCAGCTTACAGAGAAGGAACTCCTCAGAGAAGTTAAATTGTTAGCCCAGCACACAGATCTGACCCTGTCACTGCAGTGAGAGCATGCTAGCTATTGCTGTAGACCTTAGTGTGCAGCACGCAGTGATAGGCTTCTCAGCAGACAAGGTGTGACTGTAAGCGTTGGTTCTATTTCAATATCGGTAGAGTGTGTGTTTGTCAGGTTTGCTCTGTAAGCCGGAAAGGTGAATGAATGTATGAGGAGGAGGTTAGGGTGGATGGACCTTGTTTAAAAAAATAAAAATGGGAACGGGAGAGGGCTCAGTGGTTATGAGCAATCCTTGGTGTTAGAGAGGACCAGGTCCGATTCCAGGCGCCTGCACAGTAGCTCATAACCGACTAACTCCAGACCTGACGTCCTCACCCTCTTCTGACCTCCACAGGTACCCGGCACGCACATGATCCACATGCAGGCAGGCAGGCAGAACACGGACACACATTACAAGTGAATCCTTTTTAAAAAGTCAAAGAGCGCTGCTGTTAGATTTCATCCTCTGGCAACTCATGTAACTTGAGAGCCATCTCGCTTTTTCTTTTCTTTTTTAGGAAGTCTGCACTGCCTTTGCCGTCAAAGAAGAGACGTACAAGAGCCTGAGTCTGAGGGGCCAGCAGATGCTTGCACGATGTCCCAAATCTGCAGAGACCAACATTGACCAAGACTTAACCAACTTGAAAGAGAAGTGGGAATCCGTGAAAAGCAAACTCCACGAGAAGAAAGTACGTGCTTCGATCAGCGTGACAGAACAGCGTTTGCGTGTGTCCATCCTCGGGCTGTGTTCTATTTCTAGCTATGAGGAGTATAATTTTCATGGCTTGGTTTTTCGTGAAGTTAAAAACAGTAGTGTATCAAGAGAACGTTGATACAGTGCAGATAAAGATGTATCACAGGTCACGTATTGCTCCAGTTTTTAAAAACTCTGGTGCTTTTTTAAAATAGAAACCACACAGGGTTGGAGAGTTAGCCCAGTGCTTAAGAGCACCAGCTTTTCTTCCGGCAGATCTGGGTTCAATTCCCATACTTCTGTGGCAGCACAGAGCCATCTGTAAGACTAGTTCCAATGGATCTGAGACATAGCCATGCAGGCAAAACATCCATACACATAAAAAGATAAAAAAAATGAACCACACAAGGTCTAGGTTATGAATAATTGTATTCTAATCACACATTTAAACAAAAGAGAATGATATGATTGTACTTATATGTTTGATAATCTCTCACTTATATGTTTGATAATCTCTCACTTATATGTTTGATAATCTCTCACTTATATGTTTGATAATCTCTCACTTATATGTTTGATAATCTCTCACATGAAACCGATACATCAATTGTAATTTACGTGATAGTGTGCATTTTATCACCTTTTCAAACAGTAGAAAAATAATCTAGGAACTCTCAGTAATTTTGTTTAGCCCAACAAACAACAACCAGCTAGAAATAGATGGTAGGCTGCCATTGATGGAGCAGTCACAGTGTCCTCACAGGGCAGTGACCCCATCAGGACACCATTGGTTAGCTGAAACACAGCGAGCCAACTGTGAACACCAAACACTTAAGTCCTCTTCCTTTACAGACAAAATTGGAAGAGGCCCTGCACTTAGCCATGGACTTCCACAACTCCCTCCAGGACTTCATCAACTGGCTTACCCAGGCTGAGCAAACTTTGAATGTGGCCTCTCGGCCAAGTCTTATCCTGGACACCATCTTGTTTCAAATTGATGAGCACAAGGTACGTCGGAACTCTTTGGAAAGCGTGTGGCTTCATGTCAAAAGAATCAGTAATTTGGAAACTTTCTTTTCAATGTACTTTTTTTTTCATTCCTAATGCAGTGTATTCATTCCCAGCGGGCCCCCTAACTCCTCCTGGATTCACCCCTCACCTTCCCCACCAGAGACCTTTCCTGTGTCCTTTAACATGAGCGTTGCCAGCAGTCTCGTGTACGTTTTTTAAAGTCGGTCCATCTCCCCCTTGTTTCTAATTACGTTCTCTTTTGTGGAGAAAGGTCTTTGCCAACGAAGTAAATTCTCACCGTGAGCAGATAATAGAGCTAGACAAGACTGGAACCCACCTGAAGTATTTCAGTCAGAAGCAAGATGTCGTGCTGATTAAGAACTTGCTCATCAGCGTGCAGAGTCGGTGGGAAAAGGTGGTTCAGCGCTTAGTAGAGAGAGGAAGATCCTTGGACGAAGCGAGGAAGAGGGCCAAGCAGGTAATAAAGTTGGCCGGTGTTCTCCAACCTCGGCAGCAAGTGAGCTGGAGCTGTTGAACTGTGATCACAGGGCTTTTTTTTTTTTTTCCTGCCGTATTGTGTAACAATACGGAGTCAAGGTGTTTTGCTTCCTGAAAGGCCTGTGGCCTGCCTCTTTGCACTTCTTTGTCTTGGCAGCCAAGTTAGGCCATGGGGACTCATCTTGACAAGCTGTAAATAGCCCAGCCTCAAAGATGACCATCAAGGGCCACTAAGAACTTACAAATTTTAGTTTTGCCGTATGTTTATTCTTTCCCCTTGCTGTTTCAACCCCTCTCCTCCTGCTCAGACTGGGGCACTCATCTGAGTTATATTGCTAACTCTGGAAGCCAGACTTCCTTCACGTCAGAGCTGAAGACCAGACCTACATCCTCCTGAGAGTTTCCTGAGGGACCTAACTCTTCATCCATGTCCCTCTCTTCCCAGGCTGCTTGTTACCAGCCTTCATTTCCTCCCCAAGATTCTGCTCTGCCCCATCCCACTTGACCGTCGCCCCCCCCCCCGGGGGGGGGGGGGCGCTTTTAATTTAACTTAGGGAACCTCACAAACCTCACTGGGAGCTTTCCAATTCTCTTAACCTGATATTAACTAACATTCATCCAAAGTAACCACAGAGAGGAGAATCACCCATCTCCCTGCCCTGTGTGGGTATATCCACCTTACTTGGCAGAAATTGTTCTTTAATATTTTTATTTTTTAATTTGTTTTTTTTTTACTAAAAACTTGGTGTAATATTAAGGCTGGATTTTGTGGGTTTTTTTACCTTTTGGGTTTTTTACCTTTTCTGCTCCTGTTGTCTGGTGTTGGTAATGTTGGCATCTGGTGTTTGGAGAGCTAGGCTCACTGTGTGATGTCAAAAGATGTTTACAGGAGTCTGGCATCACAATGTTTAAGGTGTATGAATTTAAAGGCGTTAATAATGCTGTAATCCCTTTCCGAGTGAGAAGTGTAGCAATTTCGCTATCCGTCTCTGAAGCAGAATCAGTCGCCAGTGATTCTGTTGAACACTATGAATTCCGAACCTGACACACTCCTGTCTGCAAGTGCTTCCTGGATTTTGAACAGCTAATTGGCAGAGGCTTACTGAATACTGTGAGCTGCTTGCCGTTTTCTCCTCTCGCCATTTAACCAGTGTTTCCATTTAACCAGTGTTGGAAGCAGGAGAATAGAAAGCTGGTTAGCTAAGTTGGTGGGTCAGTCCTGAGCAGGGCTCTGAGCGCAGAGGTAAGGGTGCCCGACGGTCTCCTGCATTAAGAAGGAGAACTGATGATTTTTTTTTTAGCATATCCCATCAGCGATTGTTTCTGTTTTATAATATACTAAATTGCAAACGTCGTGTGCTCCACAAACTTCCCAGATACATATGGGTCTCTTTAACAGTTCCACGAAGCATGGAGTAAGCTGATGGAATGGCTGGATGAGTCAGAAAAGTCTCTGGATTCTGAACTGGAAATCGCCAATGATCCAGACAAAATCAAAGCACAGCTGGTACAGCATAAGGTGAGCTTCTCATTGGCAAAGCATGCGCGGTATGCACTTCAAGCACTGGTTCCGCATTGTCCATGTGCGTGTTCATCACGAGACAATAAGGAGGACCTGCCAGTTGCTAAAAGAAAGCATAAAATGAATGTCTCTTCTGAAGTCTAGTATATACTGAGTTTTCAGCCTTCCATGGCAACCCTCTTAACTTGGCATTTTTTTTTTTTTTTTGAATGGATAAATCTGGAGTATAAGGTACACAGAGCCTGATGCAGTGGCGGGTATCTTTGATCACAGTTGCTTGGAAAACTGAGGAATAGGGAGCCAGCCTGGGGAACATAGCAAAACCTTGCCCCATAAGTAAACAGGTCCTTTTAAACAGAGACATAGGGAAAGCTGAGGCTATCCAAGAACTGGTCCATGCGTGTGTGTGTGTGTGTGTGTGTGTGTGTGTGTGTGTATAAAATTTGAAGTTGACTAACGCTACCCAAGAACCAATAACTATAGCAATGTGTGGGCACATGGATACATGTATAATGTTCCATCCCTTCTCACAGATAATCAGTGACCAGCTTCTCTGTGAAACTAGAAGAATGTAGATACAAGGTTTCAAAATATTTTCCCTTTGGTAGTCCTTCCACGCTTGCCTCCTCTGCTCAGCTCCTTTGTACCCGTGTCCTGTTATAAAGTGGCCACTGGTCATACAGGTAAAGGTGTGTGAGCAGCCAAGCGTGATTATTATGAACACGTTCACAACTTCAGACCCTACATTCACATAAATGACTGCTCAGAACAAGGTCTCTTTAAAAGGCTAGAAAATTGTAGGATGATTTAAATTTTATCTTCCTCAGAAAATCTAGACACCACCTTCACATGTGTTCTGCGGACTCACCAGAGGGTCGTGACAAGAGAACGATGGGGGGTGGGGGGGAATACATGTGTCCTTGGGCCAGATGGGTCTTTAAGATTGCCTTGTTTGCCTGATGGCTTCTTCCTGTGAGCTTCCATAGTGGCCAGCATCATGCATACTCCTGTGGTGGAAAAATCAGTCCCTTGCTCAAAATAAAATACTTTATTTGAATTTATACATGAATATTATATAATCTTAAGAAAAGTAACCTTGCATTTTAAGCTAGAGAAACCCAGGAGAGAAAAAACAAAAAAGCATGCAGAGAATATTATCTCCATTTTACCCAATGGTATCTTCTGTCCTAGGGCATCCCCCTGTAGCACAGTGCAGCGCCTCCGTCTTGGTTACTTGCTGATGTCTTCCATTTTCAGGCCTCCATTTGTTAGAGATGCCTCTTTAAAACACATTTACACAATCCCACGTTTGATGCTTTTCACCAAACAAATTAGCAAACAAACAGTCCCAAGCAGAAACTTAACTCTTTTCTTGTTAAACATGTAGGAGTTTCAGAAATCACTTGGAGGCAAACATTCTGTCTATGATACCACCAACCGAACTGGGCGTTCTCTGAAGGAGAAAACCTCCCTGGCTGATGACAACCTGAAGCTGGACAACATGCTGAGCGAACTCAGGGACAAATGGGACACCATATGTGGAAAGTCTGTGGAAAGGTAGGATATCCGGGCATTGGTTTTTCTGTAGACTTGCCTCAGATAGATGGTAGGGCGGTGTTTGCAGGCATAGCTTGTGGATCTCAACCTGTTTGGGTTAGGAATATCTGTTTTGACTAGGTCTACTTTCTTGCTTATAGATGGTCTCATACTGTAGTTTAGTGGCCTCTTAACTCATTGTGTAGCCAAGGCTAGCCCTGGTCCTTCCCTCTCAGTGTCTTGAGTGCTAGGAGTACAAGCAGTGCCACCATGCCCAGCTCTCCCAACTCTGCTGTTTGGCTCCTTTAATTTCCATAAAACTAGTAGAACAGTTATATGAAAATATCAGTGAGAGGCTTATCATTTCTCTTTCTCACCTGTGTTAGGAACTTGGTATTGGATATGAAATAAAATGGACTCCCTAACATGTCATGGAAGACAGCACTGATCTGACCCAGGCCTGCACTCCTTCAAACCTCCAATCTCCCTTTTTTTCATTGGAGTTTTGTGAGGCCCCAAGATTTCACGTTAAAACTATCAAGTATTTAATAAAGTACAATAGTAGTGTAAAGGTTCAAACATCCTGAATTTCAGAGTTTTTTTTTTCCTTGATCCTTAGTTCGAGTTACTTTTGTCAGAAAAGCTCAGTACTCTTATCCAAAATATTTGAGATCAGAAATAATCAGATTTAGGTGGCTTTTTTTAAATCTTGGGATATTTGCATATGTACAGTGGACTATCTTGAGAATGAGACTCTAATCTAGATTTGAAATCCATTTGTCATACACACACAGACACGCGCACACACACAGACACACGCACAACACACACAGACACACACACACACAGACGCGCACAACACAGACATATCCCTTACATATTTGGCCTGAGTTGATTATTTTAATTTTTAATAAAATTGGGCTTACAGTCCCAGAAGGTTAGAGTCCATGATGGTGGGACAAAAGCATGACAGCAGGAACAGCTGGGAGGTCACAACACGAGGGAGAGAATATACTGGTCCATTACTGAAGGGTCTAAGTAATTTTTCTTGTATTTCTCTGTTGAGAATGGTTCATCTGTTGGGCTGTGTATCTTTTATGGAGTTATATGATAAGCCCCCTAGTGACTTTCTCTTGATAATTTGTCTTGGGAGGTGTCATTCCTGGTTGTGCCTCACACCACAGACTGTCATGCTTGCCACAATCTCCAAGGCTAAGTCTTCCACCATCTCTCCCTTACCGGATCCCATGGCTGCAGGGATAAAGTTAGAAATCTGGGTTTTTTGAGGTTTTTTTGAATAAAGCATGTGTGGTATACAGTTTTGTAGTATAGTATTTATTCTGTGGCATCATATTGGTGATTAAAGCTTTCATATTTGGGAATTTTTTAATTTTGAAGTATTTCAGATTTTCAACCTGTATCAAGATGCTCTGGGCAGCTTCAAACATTCAAATAAATAAATATCTTTAAGTAAAATTGGCAAATATTTATTTACACTCTGGAAGGATCAGTGATTTACAAAAATGGGGTTAAGAGAGGAGGGAACTGTGAAGGCCACTCACACTTCCTCTTCTGTACCACCAGCCACCATCGTGACATTAGAAGGGTAATTCATCTCCCTTTTTCCCAGACAAAACAAATTGGAGGAAGCCCTGCTATTTTCTGGACAATTCACAGACGCCCTGCAGGCCCTCATTGATTGGCTGTACCGAGTTGAGCCTCAGCTGGCGGAAGACCAGCCTGTGCACGGAGACATTGACTTGGTGATGAACCTGATCGACAATCACAAGGTACTGCAATCCGGAACTTCATTTCATTCTGTTGTTTAGTTGTGTCTTCTGAGTACTGAGACGAAGGCAAGCGGTTATAGTAGCCTTTGAAACCTGGAAGAGTGGATCTTACCACATCACCGTCTTCCTACTGATATGTGATTGAGCACATTCCAGAAGCCATCTTTTAAGGCCATGGATGGGAAATTACTTAATCAGCAGAACGTTTTCCTTGTAATTACCTGATCTACATCTATTTTAGACTTGAAATGTAATTTAATTTTGTCCTTGTGGGCTCTTCTTTGAAACAGTTGCATAATAAAATTTAGTGACTTGGAAGGGGGTCATCCTATTGGTGTACAGATCCCCCAATAGGTCATGAGTAGATCTTGTTCTCCATCTGGTAATGCGTAAGTTAACAGTGTGCTCAAAGAGATTTATTTATCTTAAGTAAGGTTTCCAGCTGATAGTATGAGATCTTAATTTTTTTAATTTTTTATTTATGTGTATGTGGGGGTAGAAGGGTGCTCTCAGAGGCCAGAGGAACATGTAACTCCTCTAAAGCTGGAGTTACAGGTGGGTGTAAGCCACCCACCATGGGTGCTAGGAACTAAACTCAGGGTCTCTGGGGAAGAGAAGAAAGCCTTCTTAAGACATCTCTCTAACCCCAAGATCTTAATTTATGATCCAGTGATCTAATACAACTTAGCAGGCCTTCAGAAGAGCATGAAGCTACGGCCAGCACACCAGGGTTGACTTTATCCGCAAACAGTTTGTGGTACTTTACCCAACTTCCCCGTGTATTTCCTTACCGTGATTTTGGCCTGGCTTCAGAAAATGTATTTTGTTTTAAAATGTTCTCTCCGTGCCTCTTCAACTGTACTATCCCAACCGTGCTTTTGATCTTTTTAAACGGTTGTTTCAACTTTTAAAATATATTTGCATATTTACTTTCCTGTCTGTTTCTGTTCTATGAACAGAATTATACTTATTAACAGAATAAATAAAGAGCATCCTGGAGATGTTTCTCAGCTGGTAGAGTTCTGGCTTAGTTTGTGCCAAGTCCTGGGTTTGACCCCCAGTACTGCTCATACCCAGCGTGGTAGCTCACCCTTTCATTTCAGGTACCGGAGAGGTGGGGGCAGGAGGAGAGGCAGTCCAAGGTTATCTTTGTGTCATGACATCCTGTCCAAACAAGGAAATTAAAGAACATTGGTCAGGCCCACAATGCTTTGGTACTATTGATTTAAAAAAAAAAAATGTTCTTGTGGTTAATTCAGACTTGTCTGAATAAGTTGACTGCATAGGTATGTATAGATGTTTACAACCCAGAACACTTGCCAGACACATTAACCATCATCAAATATGACTTACTCAGTAAGGATTAGTAATGTAGTTGGAAGACTCCAGAAGTTTAACTATACAAAGAAGGTTGGAAAGTCCACTCTGAAACTGTTGGCTAGTCCTGTCACGGGTGAATATGTAGATATTTTCCATTCTGTGTGTATTGACAGTACATATGTCTGTCTGTAACCACCTACCACCATTGAACACAGTCAGACTGAAGCCTGTTCACCACATTCTGGCTGGCTTGTTCTGGCTAAGCTCCCTTTGTGGGATGATTTGTGTATAAACTTGAGTAGTTCTAATGTAGATAGAACACGAGTTGTCTGAATATCTAGTTTTATACACAGACACTTAGACTGATGATGAAGAGCCCTCGGCTCAATGCCACTCCTAAGAGTGGCCTGAGGAAGCCATCCTTTTAAATGGCACATTACTTTCAAATCTGCCTAAATTGAGAGGGCGAGGTCGGAGATCCCAAAGCGTTTTCACTGAGATGACTCTAACTGTGAAGTCATGGGTTGATACTTAAGGTGCGATGGGGAATGGCTTACTGTAGAGGAAAGGACCACATGACGCTGTTGGATTCGTTGGTCTTTCTGGACCCTGTCATCTCTGTAGCTTGTCTCTCGGGATGGTAGGTAATGAGCGTGCATTGCTGTGGCAGCCACACTGACCGAGAGGGTTTGGTATTCTCTGCTACATGACTCAGAAAGAAAGGGAATTTGATGTGTGTATGTGTGTCTGTCTGTAGTGTGTGTGTTTGTGTCTGTCTGTCTGTCTGTCTGTCTGTCAAGGGTATGTAGGGCTGTGTATATGTGTGTATCAGGGATGTGTATGTGTGTCTGTCTGTCTGTCTGTCAGGGTGCGCGTGTAATTGAAATTGAGAAGGCCAATCACCATTATTTAAATCTTACACATCTCATTTTACAAAAATCCTGTTCCCTTATGAGAATGTCACTGGATATAAGCAAAATCTATCCAAAACAGTATTAAGTCCTCAAAAAGGAATAATGTAGGTATTTCCTACCTTGTGAAGATTTGACCAAAAATAAAATCCTGGGTGTATATGTCCGTGGTGTTTCATATAAAAAAAATATATTATATATATATATATATATATATATATATATATATATATATATATATAATCTCACAACAATGCACTTGGCCGTTTAGGCTCTATACTTAAGTTACCTGTGACGAAAGGTAATATGGTTTCCTCAGGTCTTCCAGAAAGAGCTGGGGAAGAGGACCAGCAGCGTGCAGGCCTTGAAGCGCTCTGCCAGGGAGCTCATAGAAGGCAGCCGTGATGACTCCTCCTGGGTCAGGGTCCAGATGCAGGAGCTAAGCACCCGCTGGGAAACCGTGTGTGCGCTCTCCATATCAAAGCAGACGCGGCTAGAGTCAGCCCTGCAACAGGTAACATCCGCATAACTGTATAATGGGTGAGGTCCTGCAGTAGTCGCAGCAAGAACAGCTCAGGCAGACTAGTGGGGCCAGGCCTCATCCTCACCCTCGTCATAGACGGTCATCAAGGAAGTCTAAATCTGTTTCATAACTGTCTGGGCCCTTCTTCATGTTTCTCTGGTGGATTTCAAGTACTTAGCAGCAAGTACTTATCAGGGGTACTTACTGATATCTGCTTAGTGTTGCTTGAATGAGTCATTTGGGAGTCCCACCAGCTGCCACGTACTGAACACTCACCCGTGGGATGAACTAGGCTTCCCGTGGGCTCCTTGATATCTTACATCTCTTCCTATATTTGAAAATTTTAATAATGTATATCCCTGTCTGCTTACTAGGAGTAATTTGCATAATTAATTTAAGCTAAGACTTCTTCATTAGGAGGGGCCGTGAGCAGGTCTGAAAATGTCACTAACAGGTACATCGTGAAATCCTGTTTCTGTGTGTGTGTGCTAACTGTTAGGCAGAGGAATTCCACTCTGTGGTCCATACCCTCTTGGAGTGGCTGGCGGAGGCAGAGCAAACCCTGCGTTTCCATGGTGCTCTCCCAGATGATGAGGATGCTCTCCGGACTCTCATTGAGCAACACAAAGTAAGTAACTTCCAGTACAGGACTCTGAGCAGGGAGAGAGAAGAAGCACAGGACCGTTCGCAGGGAATGCGAGAGTTTGTTTTCTTTGGTTTTGGTTTTCCTTCCTGAGAAGAATTCAACCATCTGGTACACTTGAGAATGTCTCTCTTCTCCCTGCTTATGCACCTGAGCACATGCATCTACACACCTGGATAAGCAGCTGTCTTGTTAGGTTCCCTTCTGAGAGAAAGCAGTCACTGTAGAACTAGGCTCTCTGCTTCCTGTCTCTGAGCTGCACCATGATCTTCCTAGAGGATCATTCAGCTTCTGCCCAGAGTAAGGTTATTCTGTCACAATTGTATGTGTATTTCAAGAATGAAGCTTCCTAAACGAGCAGCATGGCCTTTACAGACTATCCCACTAGAACTGTATTTTAATAATTTTTACATCTGTATGCAAAGCAAGCAACTCATTTAAAGCATTAAAATATTATTCTTAAGCCTCTTTCACTCTGGGGCTTGCTTTATTTACTCAATTAGCTTGTGTGTCGCGTGGATCATCATGTGCTTATCAGAAGGCTGATGTTTGCCCTTGCCTTCTGTCACGTGGATCCTGGGATTCAAACTCAAGGCTTCGGACTTGAAGCACCTCATTCCACTCACCGAGCAGTCTCTCTCTCAGCCCTTGTAATCAAGGGCCTTATGAAAATTCTTGTAAAGAACTAACGTATAGTATGGGTTATAAATTTAAAGCATTGATTTCATAGTGTTGAATGGCTAACAGGTTGTGGCAGGGTCACCAAGACAAGCTAAGCTCTTTTCCATAGCAGTGCTTGAAACTTGGCCAAACCCACACAAGAGTGATCCACATAACAGATGTTTTTTAACCTTTGGCTGTGAAAGTCAGATGTTCACAGTGCTCACACCCCGATGCAGTATTCATGTCCACATTTCCGATTCACTTGAAAGATTTTTTTTTAATAACCTCGCCTTTCAAGGTCACGCTGGAAGCCCGTCATTCTGCTGTAGCGTGTATTACATCATCTGCTTCTGACTTTCGTTACTGCCCTTCCTCAAAGGGGCTGGCTGAGTATAGCAAGGAAAACATTGCCTTGCTGTTGGATAGTAGTGCAGGCTTACCTGGCATGGCCTGGAGGACAGAAGTGCTTTGTACACTGTTTACCTGTAAGGCTGTAGGATAGGAAAAGGGTCAGGCTCATGGTGAATCTGGGAATCAGCTCAGTAGTCAGAAGTTGAGTTTATATCTCCAGGGGCTGTCAATCAGCCAGCATCAGGTCACACACCAGACTGAAGTCCTTCCTTCTTTCTATAACATGACATGAAGTGAATGTCACAGCAAGGGCCAACCGCTAACAGAGGTGTCCGCTCCACTGCAGGAGTTCATGAAGAAACTGGAAGAGAAAAGAGCAGAACTAAATAAGGCCACCGGTATGGGGGATGCCCTTCTGGCCGTCTGCCACCCTGACTCCATTACCACCATTAAGCACTGGATAACGATCATCCAGGCCAGGTTTGAAGAGGTCAGTGCGTCTGATGTCATCTGTGGTATCGGTGACTGTGAAGGGGACAGGGAAACGGGAAACCTCAGCAGTCGAGGCCTTCACAGGAAAGCATCCCATAGATTCCCTCCAAGTGCATGAGGCCCTGAAGGAGCCTTTGGCTAGAAAAGTTACAGGACCTGCAGCTGTGTCCCTGCGACCTTAAATGGCAGATGTTTGGTTCACCATAGGTTTTGTCCCACCTGTTCACCGTGTCTGGGGAATAATGCCTCGCTGAAGAATGTTCCGGGAGGGCCTTGTATGCTTGTGGGAGTGAATGGAAGAACGAGACGGGAATTGAATCCTGTTTAAGATCTTTAGCGCTTTAGATTCTACCGTTTCTGAATGCTATCTGGAGTGGGCAAGTTTGGTCCTTTAGAGAAGGTATACTTGAACATGAGAAAGCACAAGGAACGAACAGGAGTGAACCCAGATGCTAGGTACATCACTAACGTTCTCCCCGATGACAAACATCCTCGAAAGGGGACTCGGTGCTTCCTCAAGCTGGATCTGAGTGCCACTCACCAGATCTAGACTAGCAGAAAGCTTCGTAGGTCTAACCCAGAAGAATCTTCATTTACTTTTTAAATGGGTGTGGTTTACGTTAATGACACTAAGTTGCAAGAACCTGAGCCCAGTGTCTCTGCAACAGGTGCTGGCCTGGGCAAAGCAGCACCAGCAGAGGTTAGCAGGGGCGCTGGCCGGGCTCATTGCTAAGCAGGAGCTGTTGGAGACTCTGCTCGCATGGCTGCAGTGGGCGGAAACCACACTGACTGAGAAAGATAAGGAAGTCATCCCCCAGGAGATCGAAGAGGTGAAAACCCTCATTGCAGAACACCAGGTAAAGAAGCTCAGTCCCCAGCTGTTAACCATCACCTCGGGTGTCTCCTCCGTTGCTAGGCTTCTCCAACGGATTCCTGGACTAGTTAGCTTCTTGCCCTGCAACTGCGCTACAACTGGTCTTATTTTAACTTGACTCTCCCTCTGGGCAGTCTGATCTCGTTGCTGTGGCCCTGGCCTGCACACCTCACCCATTTTTAAACTCTGAATTGATGACGTTATATGTGCCCTGATTTATAGTTTGTTTAATTACTGGAGCTGGAGAGATGGCTCAGAGGTTAAGAACATTTAAAGAGGACCTAAATTCAGTTCCCAGAACCCACACTGGGCAGCTCAAAACCACCTATAAATTCCGTTTCGGGAACTGCAGCGCCCTCTTGTGGCCTCTGTGGGCATCACACACAGGCGGTGTGCATATTGACAAGTGGCAACATAGGTACACACACACACACATCCATGTAACTAAAAACAGAACTTTAAAATGTTAAATCTGTGCTATTGGGGTCTACATGGCCCAAAGTATCTCAAGTTATATTCCCCGTGGATATAATTATCATGGCACCTCAAGTTTCCCAACCTAATAAGCGTTTGTCTGCCTCATGTTTTCCCATCACTTTTGATGGCAGCCTCTCCCTTTCCTCATGTAGGGACCAGTCGGCAGTAACAAGAAGCCAAGGAGATGCAATGAGGAATGGCAGGATACTGAGCCTTTGTAAATGTAACTTTAAAAATGTAACTTTTTAAATGTAACTTAACTTCACTAGCCTCAGCCCCCTTAAAAGTCACTCCCTGTGACCATTATGAATCTACACGTTTAACATGGCCATCTTCCGCCACTGTGTGCAAAGCCATTCAGATGTTTAAACCGTGTGGGCAGAATGTGCCAAGGCAGGGAAAGTTTTCACTTAAACCCCTGGTGGAAGACCTTGGAAACTCAGACCGAGTTAATGCCAGATAGCGGATGGCTGGCACATGTTGTTTTTTCTGACCAAGAAGTGACAGTTGTGTTTTCAGTCTGAACTTGCTTTTGGTCCAGTGGCATGCTTTGCGTTCTCTGGAAATCGGGAAAAGCGCCTGGCCGTCACAGTCACTTAACATGACAATCCTTTAAAAGTGACGGCACAGCCCTTTCACTCTGGGATTTTGTCCATCCCTAATGCTAACTTAATCTGCACCTTGATTTAGTTGGCACTGTTTTCTCTTTCAGACCTTCATGGAAGAAATGACCAGAAAACAGCCCGACGTTGATAAAGTTACCAAGACCTATAAAAGGAGGGCCGCTGACCCTCCGTCATTACAGTCTCACATCCCTGTCTTGGACAAGGGACGAGCCGGAAGTAAGCTGGGGCCAGGTTATTAAAAATAAAGACGTCTGAACAAGCCAGTTCCATTTCCTTTTGACTTAGCCTTTGAAACCCAAGAGGTAGTAGAGACTCTGTGTGAGCAGTCCGCTTTTAAAGGTTTCCTACAGAAAACGTGGGCTTTAAGTTTTTAGCTTTTTTTGTTTGTTTTAAAGAGAAATAATAGGCTGCACTCAGGTGCCTCTATCTAACTTTGTTTAAAGTATACCTCTCAGATTTGAGAAGAAATTGGGAGCCGGGTGGTAGAGGCGCATGCCTTTAATCCTAGCACTTGGGAGGCAGAGACAGGCAGATTTCTGAGTTCGAGGCCAACCTGGTCTACAGAGTGAGTTCCAGGACAGCCAGGGCTACACAGAGAAACCCTGTCTCGAAAAACCAAACCAAAAAAAACCAAAAAACCAAAAAAAACTGAGGAAGGTTACAAGGATCCAGACCATCACTTCTTGGGACTGATTCTTTTTCCTTTTGCTGTAGAAGTAGCAACCAACCCAAACTGAGCCTGATCTGGCTGGAGAGGAGGATCTGACTCTGTTCACGCTCTGTGGCTGCTGCCCTCTTTATTAATCTCCTAAGGAGTCCTAACCCACAAGACAGCATTCAGAATGGTAGCTGTTAGCAGGGACAATGTTAGCAAGCACAGTATACAATGTAGTACATTTTGTATATTTTTGAGTGCTGTGTTAGTTTGTTGTTTTTTTTTAAGTGGGAACAGAGCTACTGTAATTACTGTGCTACTCAAGGAAACCGGGGAGTTGTATAAATGAAATACTGGAGGCTCCATGCTGTCCCTACCACAGACCAACTGGGAAGCCTAATAATTGAACAGTTTACCTGGTTCTCAGCTAGGGTTTCCTCCTCTGCAAAAGAGGATACTTTATAACGTCTTTGGACGAGTGAGCTAGCACACACTACTTCCAAGCATGTAGTTACCCATAAACTTGAGCCTGAATGAAGTATGATCTTAGGCCAATAATTTTTCTAGGCCACGTGTAGCCGTTTAGTTACATGCACTGTGAGCATGGTTTCATGCCACTGCGGACATTTGTGAAGACAGCCAGACGGGAGAGCGTTAAGTCAGTGAGCATGGAGGTGTGCATATGAGAGGAAGGCGCACATGCTCAGTGGAGAATGGATTTGGGGAAAGGGTGGGACCCGCACGCCTTCTCGGCTTGGTTGTCATTGGTGAAGCATCCCACTCTGGTTCTGAGGGCGCCACTCTTCAGCCTTCTTCTCTAAGAAGGGCAGGTGCTGCCTGTAACATATTCTAACGTGTCCCACTGTGCCACTTCAGCATCGGAATGGCACGAGTGTACATAGAAAACACATTTGAAACATCAAGTTTACAGAATTTCTAGTGTTTTAAGTGGCCCCCGTAGAGATGCATTTCGGCAGCGCACAAGATCAGAGTGTGAACCTTGTTAAGAAAAGCTAAGTTGGGGTGCTTTTCTTTGCAGTACACAGTAGTTAAAGTCAGTCTTGGCTAGGAGCCAAAATAAGCACCCAATCTCAGTGCTTGTCAGCATCCCAGATGCTCCGCCATCCTGACCTGAAGTTGTGTTTTAACAGGGAAACGCTTCCCGGCCTCAGCTTTGTACCCATCTGGATCACAGACACAAATCGAAACCAAGAATCCCAGGGCTAACCTGCTGGTGAGCAAGTGGCAGCAGGTCTGGCTCCTGGCCCTGGAAAGGAGGAGGAAGCTCAATGACGCCCTGGACAGGCTGGAGGAGGTCAGAAACTCAGACTCCCATGTCCATGTTGTCTCCGCTGTCCGCGCAGCGCTGCTCAAAAGCCTGGCTCTCTCTCCCATAAGCAAATTCTTAGCCTCTGATTGCCAGTTCTCTTCTGAAACAAACACTCAGATTGTGTCCGTTTCTATAAGGGTCACATCTATGGGATGTGGATCCAGGGACACAAAAAAGTAGAAAACACGTGCCGCTGACCTCGGAGAAAGACTTTCTAACTTGTCGGGTCTGCTGCTGGTTCCACCCGACAAATGCAGCTGTGCTCATATGCACCCTGTGGTGGGAGGTTTCAGTTCTCTATGACGTGAAATGTGAAAATGTTAGATGGCCGGGCAAATGGGGGTAGCTGGTAGGACAGAGGGACTGGATGGCTACACACCAAGCCCTGTACCCTCATGAAGCTATGGCTGGCACTCTGGGCACACACCTCCGTGACTGGTGGTGTGAACAGTTCTCAACTTGGGGATTTTATTTGCAAAGAAAAAAAATCAGTGACATAATGAAATATACCTTTATAAGAAATCATTTGTAAAATCATGTCTTCTCTGAACCAGGAAAGATGTATGTCATCTGTGGGAGACCATCATCTGTGGCTTTATTCACGCAGCAGAAAACAGAATTTGATGCTCACACCCAGACATGCAGAGGCATCACTGAGTGCTGACAGATTATTATGAGGGACAGAGGGAGAGGGAGAGATATGAAGTTGGGGGACATGAGACACAGGGGAGAACTTGGAGTGGATATGACGGTGGCAGTTTGTTGTGTACATGTATAAAATTGTCAAGAATAAAGGCAAATTCTAAGGACCGTTCAAGCACAGCACTGACAACAGCCAAAACCCTTCGCTCTTTTTAGCTGAGGGAATTCGCCAACTTTGATTTCGATATCTGGCGGAAAAAATACATGAGGTGGATGAACCATAAGAAATCTCGAGTGATGGATTTCTTCCGGAGAATCGATAAGGACCAGGACGGCAAGATCACTCGGCAGGAGTTCATTGACGGGATCCTCTCCTCCAGTAAGTCCCAAGACAAGATGGCAGGGACAGGGCACAGCGTAAGACTGCGGAGCTAATAATCCTGCGTTGCTAGCAAAGCGTCGCCTTCCAGCTTGACTGGGAACACGCCAGCTCAGAAGAGCATGTCATACTTTGAGCTCTTGAGTCAGACACACCACTGTTTTGTATGGCCACAGGAATATCCCTTCGCTCTCCTCAGCCTGTGTTATTAAATATAAGTTAGCAATAGTTGATTGTAAAAGTCTTTTGGGTGTTAGCTGTCATATAAAAGCAAATCAATAAGTATGGATATCTTGATAATTCTAGTTAATAATCCCGATCTGATAATCATGTCAGTAGGACATGAGCGCCCTGAGTCTGCTCGTTGGGCAACTCTACAAAAGCAGCAAGTGCTGCTAACCACTGAGGGCTCGCTCCAGCCCCTCCCCCTACTTCTTGAAGATAAATTTGCATCATATACATTGACTTATTGCTAAAAATGGGGTGACACCCTGACGAGCCACATTAATAACAAAATACACAGTCAAATACATCTTAAGCTGTACCTAACAAACTGCTTGGTACATTTCAGAGTTTCCCACCAGTCGCCTGGAGATGAGCGCCGTGGCAGACATCTTTGACAGAGATGGTGACGGGTACATTGACTACTATGAATTCGTGGCCGCTCTGCATCCAAACAAAGATGCATACAAACCCATCACGGATGCTGACAAAATCGAAGACGAGGTACTCGTCGTTGGCCCTCTGTTGCAGCAGGGCGTCCCTGCCTCCTGCAGGGCTTCCCGGTTTCCAGGGCCCCCACAGTGAAGTTCCAAGGTTAACGTGAATGTCACACCTTTGTCTTTGACAGGTCACGAGGCAGGTGGCCAAGTGTAAGTGTGCCAAGCGATTCCAAGTTGAACAGATCGGCGACAACAAATACAGGGTAAGTGTCCCCGGTGACTCCAGCCCTTCAGAGGACAGAAGCCAAAGTGTACGTCAGGGGATCTACATTGTGTGTGCATCAGTCTGATCTCGTCACTGTTTCCTAAGCACCCCAACTGTTCTCACATGGTCTCAAGATGTAACAGTGTATGAAACTCCACAGTTTTTTCTCATTTTAAATCACGTGAATTTCCAGATTATATAATGCGTATGTTCCATAGGGAGCTTGCATTTGAATAGCAGGCCATATTTTTTTTTAACATCTAAAATATGCAGAAAAACCTGTAATCTTTTTTACACTTGTCTATGTGTGTGTGTGTGTGTACAAGTGTGTTTTGAATGCCACCACATGCATAGCAGTCAGAGGACATCTCATGGGGAGCAGTTTTCTTCTGCTGCATGAGGTATAGGGCTGGAACTCGGGCCCTCGGGCTTGGTGGTAGTGCCCTCGCTGTCTGAGCTGCCTCACCCCACATATACCACTCTTAAGGTATATTACTAATTACCTAATTACTAATTAAGGCATATTCGTAATTACAAATCACTGAAAGCAAATACTCAAGTCATATATTCAAGCTGTCCCACGTCACCTCTTGTTTTTAAGTTTATCCAGGGTCTAAACAACAGGGACTCCAAACCAAAATCACGAAGTTAAAGTTTTGTTGCCTTTTTCTAGAAATTAAAAACATCTGTTTTATAACTATGAAGAAGACTCGGTTTTTTCCCATTTGCGTAGTAACTTTGACTTTCGTTCAGAATATAAGTGGACTTGGTTCACGTTAGAACAGAGCAGCGTGGTTTTCTCATTCTGTCTGTGTTCCCCTCTTAGTAAGCAGCTGGGAGGAGCATGAGCTGAGCGTCCTTGTGTGTTCTTTACAAGTGCAGTGAGCGTGCACTGCACAGAGATGCTCACCTACCGTTTTCACTTCATTCTGAAAACTTCCAACTGTTTAAACTTTAAAGGTTTCGATTTGGAATCTCTAATTGCAATTTGAAATCTGAAGATTTTTTCAATAAATTTGTAAAAATAAAATAGATTTTTTGGTTTGCAACAAGAGAAAATATGAACCCGCACATCATCTTGAAACTAAATACTGGATCCTGAAGTACAGGGCGTAAGTGTGCGGATGTGTGTGAGAGAGACTGAGTGCGAGTGTATTATGTGAGTGTGAACATGTATGTGTGTGGGAAGGAGAAAAAGAGAGAGACAGCCATATAGAAAGTTTCCTTTTGAACTAATTTTGTCTTTCTTGCATTTTTCATTGTTTTATCAGTTCTTCCTGGGAAATCAGGTATAAACCAGTGGAATCTCAAGTTCCCAATAATTTTTTTTTTGAGTCTTTAATTCATAGTCATCAAAGCTTGCTATGGCTGGTCCTTCCATGCTGTCTTGCTAGCTACTCCAGTGTTGGTTGGTGTGCAGTTTCTGTCAGCGCTATCACAGCCTCAATCCAGGATTCCTCTATCGCTTTGTGCCTCAGATGAGGAGATTACTTTTAAGCAAACCAGATAATGGACGGTAGCTGATTAGCTCACGAAGGTGATGCAAACACCGTGTTGAAGCCCCACTTTTCATAACGCTCTTAACAAAGTCTATGCCAGTACACAAACTTGATTCTCCAGACATCACTGTGTCTGACTGTTCAGATCATGTGGCACACAGTAGCACCAAATAGGGACCACGGGAAGACAAAATACCAAGAGGTCCTCATCGGGCCCGTGAGTGACATGTGCGTGCCCCGTAATTAACTTGCCCTGAGTTACTGGTTTATGGTGATACATGCCAGGTCCTGTCTTCTGCCATCTTGACAAATGTTGTGTAGACATTTAAGTCACCACGGACTGCTTAGTGGTGCTGTGTAGCCATCAGAGTGTTAAAAATGCACGCAGGAGAGAAACTACATTTTAACTGGCGGGCACATATTGAAGATGCTTTGAGCATACTCTTCTGTAGGGAGCACACCACATTAGACAGTGGCCTCTGCCCCACCGGTAGTCGCACCACACACACGCCTTTTATTAAAAATAGATTCTTTTTTCTCACATAGTAGACCCTGACTGGTGTCTCCTCTCTCTGCCCCTCCCCACCCAGCACCTCCCCACCTCCTCTTCCATCCAGATCCAAAAAGATCGGGCTTCTGAGAGATAGCAACAAAACAGAGTAAAACACAGTAAGATTAAAGAAAAACCATCACACCAAAGTTAGATAAGGCAACAAAAAGAAAAGAGCCCCCCAGAGAAGGCACGAGAATCAGAGATCCACTCTTTCTCACTCCCAGGCGTCCCGTTAAAAACACCAAACTGCAAGCTGTAACCCACACATTGGGAACCTGGTGCAGCCCCACGTAGGCTCTGGGCATGCTGTGCCAGCCTCCAGCCACTGCATCGTAACTTCCAAGTTACCTCTTACCTCCAGATTCCTGTAGCCAAACGTTTAGAGTAAAATGATTCTGTTACCTCGAAGAGAGTTTTCTCAAGAAACATTTTTAATTGGCACGTAATAGTCATTTCTGTTTATGGGGTACCGTGGGATAATTAAGGGTGAAGTCAGGATAAAGCATCTATCTGTTAATAACAGGTAAAATGTCACTTCTTCAAGCTTGGCATTTTCTGAGTCAGCCGGTAGGGCAATATCTTGTGTTTTCATAGAAAATGAAAGAAATACTTGCCTTCAAAGATTTTATGTGCTGAAAGTACAAAGAACAGCATTAGTCTGTTTTTCTCGTGTCATGGTTTGGCCTTGGGAAAATTGGAGGACTTCTAAAGACACCATTAGTTGTCTGGAGAATATCTTTTAAAAGTGCAATCAGAAGAACTGAGTTTAGTAGAACCAAAATATCATTTTATAAACTGTTTTTCAGTTGTTTCCTTGAGTCTAAATTTGAACCTGGTCTTGAACAAGATTTATCTGATCCAATTATCTGGTTCCTTAAGGGTAATTTTCTTCACGCCCCCTTTGCCTTTTGCTTACTAGCAGCACAGATTTTTGTCTCTAACAATATAAACACAGGTTTCCGTTTTTAAGCCTACATTTCAGAAGCAGTTCATGCATAGAGATATTTGAGTTTCGGTGTTTAAAGAATTATCAAAATTAGGAAGAGCTGAGACCAAAGACGCAACAATGTATATGCCACACGAGTCCCTGCTGGACACTTCCGTGGCCTTATGAGTTTAGGTTCCTGAATGGAGTCTGCGGCTTCTCATCCTAAAGTGCAGCATTAAGGATTATAGAAAAGTAGCAGGGTGCCATTTGTTTTCTTTGTCGCTTGCAAAGTTGCTAAGCGTGAAATTCAGTACAGTGGTTTTCATGGTTGGACCTGAGCCTCTTGGGAATGATTTCCAGGTATGAAAATCATTCTCACAGATTTTCAAATCATGGAAACCTATGATCAGAGCTGCCTGCGGCCTAGCGCTTGTTCAAGCCTTGCAGAGTCCTCACACAGCCGGATGATTGGCGCCTCACTAAAGGAGCACCAGTGGTACAGACAGCTCTGAGGAAAGCCCTTTAGACCTGAAAGCTGTGTCGTTAATAATTTCCCAGGACCTGTCTTGAGGTTGCAGTAATCGAAAGTGGCAGGGTTAATCCAAACTCTAGCTAATTGGCTTACCAGACCGTTAGAGAGGCAAACGTTTTTAGGATGGAATTCTTATTAGCCATAAGCATTCTTTACTTTATTCTCTAAGTTAGAACTTTGCTAAGAAACACAAAGGAGCTTAAGATTTTTGCCCCACACATCTGAGGAAAGCAGTTTTAACTTGAGAGGCAGTTTTCCCAGTCCGTTCGATGAAGTCCTTAGAGCGCACCTCATTTTGTGCGAGCCCTGGGCAAGGGGACCTGCGCTTATTGTCGTGGCTACACTTCTGGAGACATTCACTGTTCTTGCCTTGTGAGTGTTGTTACTGTTACAAGAAAGAAAAACAATTTGTAACTTTAGTATAAAGCTTCAACATTATACTTGATTAACCTCTGTGGTCTTTTTTTTTTCCCCAAACTGTTTCCTTTGGGCTAAATCGGCATGTAGCACTCTAATGTAGGCCGTTACAAACTCCCTTTGAGATTTCACTAATTAATCACCATGAACTAAGCAAGCATTCAAGTTGGTTGCTTATGCTACCGCAGGCTGCATGCCATCCTTGGGCTTTGAATTGGTTCTGACGAGTAGAGGTCCTTTCTCTCTCTGCTGCCTAGTTTGGAGACTCCCAGCAGCTGCGACTGGTTCGGATCCTGCGAAGCACGGTGATGGTTCGTGTTGGAGGCGGATGGATGGCTCTGGATGAGTTCTTAGTGAAAAATGATCCATGCAGGGGTAAGGAGACCTTCTTGTCAAGCTGTCGGCACCACGAAAGCACAGTCGTGTGGGGTGTCCCACACTGAAAGCACACTGGGCCCAGTCTGAGTCCCACAGCCGATGGCTCCCAATAGCCTGTAAATATACAGTCTCTCTCTTTCATTCCTCCACTAGTGGAAGACATTTCACACATGTAGGTAGGAAATACAGTCTGGATTTTCTGTGTAAGACCTTTCTGTCTACAGTTTTCAGAATGGACACTTCCATTCACCAAGACAGAATACTAAAGAGTAAACGATTAAAAAATTTTTATGAAATGAGGGGAGAAGGGGGGAAGATACGAAGCGGAACTTAAAAAAAGCAAACACTTGCAGGTTGACTAGCAGAATATTGGAAATGTAAATACTGTATTGTGGCTTTCTTTATCTACCAGCCTAGGGGTTTTAGCTTCTAATATTCCTATTTTGTGTTGTGAAAATTACAGTATTATTTGTAATTATATTTATGTGTGTGGTATGTGTATGTATGTGACAGTGTCCACAGAGACCAGAGGTAGCAGATCCTCCAGAGCTGGAGTTGCAGGTGGTGGCGAGCCACTCATAGGTACTGAGACCAAACTCAAGCCCTCTGAGGCCAGAGCAGTGAGTGCTCTGAATCACCAAGCCATCCCACCAGCCCGAATAGTCCTGTTCCTCATGTCCTGTAGTTAGTGGATTCTTAATTGGTCATATGCACATCTGATTACAGTTTCCAGTTAGTTACCACCTACTCAGTAAGCACACATTGTTTTCTGACTTTACAAAAGAAAACAATCGGATTGTGGTGACTTGTTTTAATCTCTGAGCGTCTTATAGTCATTTAAAAATGTCTGTCCCAGCTTTGCCTGTTAGGCTACCAAGTGGGAAGCCAAGCAAGCTTCTGGATACAGCTGTGTGAGAGTCAGCAGGCCTGTTCTATCAAGGCCAGCACGCCCTGCTACACAGTCACACAGTAGCCCTGCTCTTTGTTAGCCAAAGATGCAGCATAAAGAGAAGTACAGCAGGGCGGAACACTCCTGATTCATCAGCCACGCTTACCAGACGCTGGGGCTGTGTCTGAGTAGTGTGTTGCCAGGCATTCTCACTACGGTACAGACACAAAGTGTACTTAATTCACACCCAAATGGTTTAATATCCTACATACCAGGGATATATGGGGTGTGTGTATGTATGTGTGTATGTGTGTGGGGGGGGGTGCATGTATGTAGGTGTGTATGTGTGTGTATCTCTGTGCGAATGTGTGTGTATGTGTGGGTGTGCATGTGTGTGTATGTGTGTGGGTATGTTTATGTGCATGTTTGTGTGTATGTGAGTATATGGTTGCACATGTGTGGGTATGTGTGTGTATCTCTGTGTATGTGTGTATCTCTGTATGTTTGTGTATGTGGGTATATGTGTGTGTGTGTATGTGTGTCTGTGTGTATTTGTATATGTGTGTATACACATGTGTGTCTTTGTGTATGTGTGTATGTATGTATGTGTGTGTGTCTGTGTGTATTTGTATATGTGTATGCACATGTGTGTCTTTGTGTATGTGTATGTATGTATGTGTGTGTGTCTGTATTTGTATATGTGTATGCACATGTGTGTCTTTGTGTATGTGTGTGTATGTATATGCGTGTGCATGTATGTGTGCATGCCTGTGTGTATGTGTGCATGCCTGTGGTATGTATGTGGTGTGAATAAAACTATATGAGACTAAATTGAGCACAAAATTAAAATTATGCAACCAGAAAGTGCAATCACCATAAGATGCATACAGCTGCTGCTGGTCTGACACAGCATGCTGTCCACAGAAAGCTTCTTAGAAGCAGAAAAATGATGTGCTTTAATAGTACATGTAATATGGTAAAAACCTAAACCAGCAACTTAGTCTTTGTTAGCACAGCTACAGCATTTTGTCCCATCTGTAACTATGTTACACTTTTCTGTAACTGATATTCCAGTAGGCTTACTCTCCACAAACACATCAGTAAGGTTGTTGCACTGTGTCCTTGAGACCGATAGGTCAGCCAGATGATAGAAACCCTTCAGCTCCGTTAAAGCCAGTGTTGTCGTTTGGGGTGCAATGGACTGCACTCTGCAAAGAACGCAGCCTGAGGTAAAGGCAGCTCTGAGTAGGAGACAGCAATGGAGACACAAACCACCCAAGGGATCACAGAGGACAAGCTAGCATGACTGGCTGAGCTTTCGCAGCTGCTCCCTCCCGGTTGAGTCGGACCTTGCAGGGCTTCTTCTCCTGATATGCCTTCTCTCCTAACTGTGTGCTAAAGGCTGGATCTGAGCTCCGTCTGCACATCCAACCACTGTACTTTGTTTCCTCTGCTAACAGCATTCTTTAATGTGACCGGTATCCTGTGTCGTTTCTTCTAGTTCACCATCACGGGAGTAAAATGTTGCGTTCGGAATCAAACTCTTCAATTACTGCTACTCAGCCTACTCTAGGTCGGCACCCCCCCCCTTCCTTGGCTTCTCCCTCTCCCTTTTCTCTTTTCCACCTTCACATTCCCGCTTTCATGATTTGTTTTAATATTAATACGCTTCATCCACGCGTATGGCTTAACTCACATGCAGCGAGCTGGGGGCTTCTAGTCATAAACTCTGAAAAACGCAACACGCTATGTGTTACACAAGCGATCAAGCACATGCTAACACGTTGCCCATCAGGTCCTCGTGGAGTGTTCTCCATGTGCACATGTGTTTGTATGAGTGCTATATCACCTATGGCCTCTAGTGGATTCCTGGGTCTGGTGTTTGTTACTGCATGTTGGTAAAACCGGTTTTTGTTTTTTTGTTTTGTTTTGTTTTTAATTAAAATGCTAGCTTCCTCACTTGAGTGAAAATTATGAAAGTTTTTCTGTTATCTTCATGACTAACAAGCCATCTTGTTTTATAATTGTTTTATAATTGTTTAATCCCAATGTTAAATACCGGCATTCTCCGGACCTCAGCAGTACATGTAAAAGACACGGCCCTGCCTTCCTGACGTGTCTACTCAGTGTGGTGTAAGGGTAACAACGTGTGGGCATCCGTAGCTGGTGGACTAACGGTAGCATGAGCTTTCCATTTTCATGCTGACTTTGTTTTACACTGGCTATTCCTGCTGGCGTCTAGTGTTAGAGTAAGCCCACCCCTCCCCATCTCCACGGCCCCCTCGTTTCCGAGAGGAATGCATTGTGAAAGAATGCATTTTTAACTTCTTGTTATGCTGAGTTGGAGCTGGCATGGCAAAAAGATGTTCTGGAGATTCTCTACGTGCTGTGTGGTGTCAGGTGGCACTCCCTCCCACAGGGACTGAGTTGCTTTCTCTTCCTGTCTGTGTTGGTTTTTTTTTTGTTTTGTTTTTGTTTTTGTTTTGTTTTGTTTTGTTTTGTTTTTTACCACCTGCATGCAATCCAGCTAAAGGAAGGACCAACATGGAACTGCGGGAGAAGTTCATCCTAGCAGACGGTGCCAGCCAGGGTATGGCCGCCTTCCGGCCACGAGGCCGCAGATCTCGACCTTCATCCAGAGGAGCTTCCCCCAACAGATCCACTTCCGCGTCCAGTCACGCCTGCCAGGCAGCCTCCCCACCGGTGCCTGCCGCTGCCAGCACACCCAAGGTAGGACTCCAGGCTGTGCCCCTCCCTCCCAACGCACACCAGTCGTCCACAGCATTCTGGCAGGTGGTCCCCCCCCCCCCCCGTATTTGTGGGGCCAGCTGCCATCTGTTTGTATCTCTTCTCACCGTATTTTTAAATATGTTCTGCCCAATGACCCATGAAGCGGTTGTCTGTACAAGGTTACCTGTCTAGGGGCTTTGTTGTTTAAAGCTTTATTCTTTTCTTTTTTCTTTTTTTTTTTTGTATTCCGATGTCATCAGCTCTGCCCACTCTTACCTTCTTTACCTGTGTAATGTGACTCTGCCATGAAGACCTCTCTTCTGTGGGTTTATTTTTCACCTACGGCCCTTTACATTTGATGTACCGTTGTTCCATGCAGATTCTCCATCCTTTAACACGCAATTATGGTAAACCATGGTTGGCAAACAGCAAAATGTCAACTCCCTGTAAAGCAGCAGAGTGCCCTGACTTTCCCGTATCATCTGCAGAGGTATCGTAAGGCCCCAGACCGCAGTCTTAACAGCCTCCTCTGGCTGACACTCACCTACTAACACCACCTCACGGTTGCCCTTGATGTGTGCACTTCTGATAATACTACATCTTCCTGTTAACTTCCTGCAAAACAGTTCTCAGGGGACATGAGAGTAAGGGGCTGTCAGGAAAGGCAAGCGGCAGCTTGACATGAATGTCCACACCATGGGGCTGTGTATGCTTCTGGGCTTTTGTTCTGTCTTGAGAAAGTTGTCATCTGATGTTGGTGGAACTCACTTGCTAATAGACATAATTTGAGCAAGAAACTTAGCACGTTCCCCAAGATGAGAATCAGAAACAATGTCATTTGCAAGAGAATGACTTAAAAGAATTTTAGCAAGTTTCCACCATGGATTGGTCTCTCTGAATGCATGTGACATTCATCTCTGCTCATTCGTGCTGGCCCGACGTTCTAAGTACAGGCATCAGAGGCATAGGAGTGGGAATATAGAAAGCTAGCTGTCATTTTCAAACAGTGTCTGTATTATATTTTAGTAACTAATATTATTTGAGCATTCTGTAACTTCTCAAAATGGCAGGTACAAAGGGAAGAAGTGTAGGGAATATAACATTTGTCAAGATTGATTCACATGCTAGATTGTCCCAATCAGTTAACAATCAGCCATCAATCAGTTAACAATCAGCCATCTATTTTTCTAAAGAAACTTCTGTGAATTGATCAGTGTAGACACTGTGTCACATGCTTGATCCAAACCACAGTAATAGGGGAAAGTTCCTAAGTATCCTTTCTTGGAAACGGGGAGTTATTTTTGGCCTAATGGTTAGGAAGAAAGCCAAGGCCCTTGTATAAAAGAAGCACTTTTTAAAAGCCCGTGATGGTTTTCATGACTGGTTCCCAGTTACTTAATCCTCACATTAACTACAATAGGTGGACAGAGGAAAGTCCCTTGCCTTCTCTTCTCGGTACCAGTTCCTGAGTAGCCAAGTAGGAAGGCTGAGATAAACACAGACTCCCTTTAAATGTCCCTTCCCTCTTCCTCCTTCCCCTGGGTCCCAGACTCCTATGTGCTCCCACTTGCGGGAGCAGTCATAGATTGCACCAAGGAATGCCTATGAGTTGTTGTGACTCCATTGTGTAAAAGCTGAAAAGCCCTTGCCCTCAAACCACTACTTGTTTTAAATGTTTGAGGGTAAATGTCTACGTTCACTTTTCTTTAGGTAGCAATGGCCCCAATTAAAGTAGGGGCCGGGGAAATGGCTCGACGGGTAAAGTCCATGCAGCACAAATGTGAGACCTGAGTCCATATCCCCCACCTAAAAGCAAGGTACTTGGGGTGGAGAACGGAGAGACAAGCTAGTGAATCCGTGTTCTCAAAAGCAAAGCGGAGGACAGTAAAGGAATATGCCAAGCACACCCTAAGGCCTCAACATGGGCTCACTTGTGCACATGCCCGTGAATAAAGTCCTAAGTCCATTAGCTGAACTAATGCGAAGGTATGTTCAGTTTTAAAGGCTGGCCTCACAGAATCTCAAGAGCAGTGTGTGTGCACACAGTAAAGTCCAAGCACTCGCAGGGGAAGGCAGGTGGCCTTGGCTTTCATACAACCCTGAGTGACAGACTCATAGTCGGCGCTTGTGGACAGTTGACATCCCTCCCAAATGGGCAGTGTGGTGGTGTGCACGTTAACTGGTTAATGTATGTAAAAGCAGGGCAAGAATGTTTACCTATAGAAATCATACATAAGTCATATTCTGGAGCTGAGTATGGGTGGAGCATGCCCGTTATTCCAGCACTTGGAGTGTGAAAGGGGGAGGGTCAGGGTTATGGGCCAGCCTCGGCTACACAATGAGTTTAAGGGTAACTTGAGCTACATAACTGTGTGTGTTTGTGTGTGTATGTGTGTATATCACCTACACATAGTTTTGCATATAGAATTTTAAGCCCTAATGAGAAGATAATTCTAAAAATACAGTCATTGTTTTTATAGAGTTGTTTTCTCTATGGCTCCTTGTCTGTGTGCTCATCGGCAAATAGAGACCCCTAATACTCAAGAGAATTTTGTTTTTAACCTCAGGAGACTTTCTAGAATGTCACAATGTAGAAACATGGGTCTAGACTTACCATACTGTCTTAAAAGTGGCTCCATATGTTTTCAAGTGACTCTGAAACGTTCTAAAGTGTCTCCAAAGTATTGCCTCTAAGTTGTGTATGGCTAGGCCATAGGGTGTGAAGTTGGATGGTCACACTTCCTTTCTGAGGGTTTCTTCCCCAAGCTTTGCTTATCTCGGTAGTTTTTTGTGCTCCCGAGGCTCAGTTTCTGTTTAATGTCTGCCTCGTTTTCCTGAAAATGCCAAAGGCAGCCAAACAGTCGAGCATACTATCCTGTCCCCCCCCCGCCTCTGCACAATCCCCAGCCCGGTGACAACTGTCTAACCCCATAAAGATGCCAGTCTGAGACACACTAACAACCCACTGTTTGGTCCGTCTTGGTTTCCTTACCATGGCTTTTGTGTTCTCTCGTCCATCTCGAAGCCATTTTCTTTAGAAGGTTTTGTTTATCCGAGTAAGAAATTGGGGGGGTGGGGGTGGGGGGAGGAAGAGGAGAGCCGATGGGAGTTGCACGCCTCGGTTATCTGAAGCGTGTCTCCCTCCTTCAGAGGGCTTGACTAGACATCCAACCATGAGCAAAATGTGTCAATGAACTATCCTGCAACTTGGGCAAAGTCTTAAGTGGTCTCTGCACTGGTCACATACAGGGAACGCCAATCCAGGGAAGCAAGCTGCGACTCCCAGGGTACCTGTCAGGGAAAGGCTTCCACTCCGGGGAGGACAGCACCTTGATAACGACAGCAGCTGCCAGAGTCCGAACACAGTTTGCTGGTGAGTGTTGGCATTTGTTTTTCTCAACAATGACGGGAGGAATAAAGCTCCCTCTCTCCCTAATTTGAAGAAAAAGCATTTGACGTTGCTGGGTGCTTTTGAAATGAAATGAAGCACTAGTTTCCGCCCACCCCAAGACCCTCAACACACACAGACACAGGAGATAAATGAATCCAAGGAACAAGAGACTAAGCAGTCGCTTCTGGAATGTACCATGGAAACATGGGGCATGGACATAAGTCAGGACTGTACCCTTTGCTCTGGGAGCCTCTTTTGCCACCCGAGGAGCATGTAGGGCTGTTCCAGGTCACTGGGGAAACCCAGGCACTGGGTCTTCCATCACAGAGTACTGAACTCAGTGACATGCCAGCACTGCCAAACTCTGACCTCAGCATGAGGGACAACTTTCACATTCTTTAAGTCACTTCCAGTCAGACAAGGCTTTCTTTGTACCTGAGAGTCTGCGGGCACCAGGGAACAAGCAGGGCTGCAGGGGACATCACCTCCAACGGCTGGGGTGTCCACCTGTTAACAGATGGGTTTCAAGTTCTTAAATGGGGTAAGCCAGAACTTAACGTTGATGTGTCAGCCTAGGTGTTGTTATTTAATGTCTGCTTAGAATGAGGCTGCCTACCCTTGCATGATAATGAAAAGCCACAAGACCAAGAGATTTTTATGCAAGCGCTGAGTGCAAGAAAAACAAGTTGATATTAAACATGGTATTACAGACAAGTAATAAAGATTTCTCACCTCTGTCCTCCGACCACTCTTTCCAGAGTCCAGGAAGACGCCCAGCCGCCCTGGAAGCAGAGCCGGAAGCAAAGCTGGAAGCAGAGCCAGCAGCCGCCGAGGCAGCGACGCCTCCGACTTTGACATTTCAGAAATCCAGTCTGTGTGCTCAGACGTGGAGACCGTCCCACAGACACACAGACCTGTGCCCCGAGCAGGTTCTCGGCTATCCACAGCCAAGCCTTCTAAAATCCCCACGCCCCAGAGGAGGTCACCTGCCGGCAAATTAGACAAGTCTTCGAAGAGATAGTGCAATTGGCTCCAACCAGCCCTTCCCCGAGCATTTATTATTTAAGCGAATGATGTAAAATACGATGTAGAAATTACTGTGAAATATTGCAGGAAGGCGAGTTTTAAATTCTGCAGATGGCCTTATTTGTGTATTTGTCTTTTTATTTGATCATCACTTTTTTTGGTCAGATTTTCTGGGGGGGGAGGGGTAAAAGTCACATCATATGTGATAAGGAAGAAAGAACTTAACATAAACTAATGTTTCTGCACTGTCGAGTGTAGACCACACACTAAAAGTCAGTTACTGTACCTACAGGTAAGTCCACATTCTCTCTGACAACCATAGCACTACATAGCTGACATTAAGGGATACCTCATGACACCTCTTATGGAGATTCTGAACAGCTGACAGACCAAGCAGGGAATTTTATTTTTATTTATTTTTTATTTTATTTTGCGATGCTCTAACTGTAAATTAGACAGAAGACAAAAGGAAAAACACAACAAGACACAGTTCTTCGAGCAGAGCCACCAACAGAGAATCAATCACAGGAGAACACTTCAAGCAGCACGAGTACCGTGGCGTGCAAGCACCTCCCGGCATCCTTGGGCCTCTGCTTCGGGCACAGCCAGATGTGTCCTGGGCATCAGCCGTCTATACTGTAAGAATGCAATGCTACGTGCATTCGTATAAACATGCAAGGTTTTGCTTTGCTTGGGTGGACAGCAGCCCCTGTACCATTGAACTCATTTTGTAACAGCAATTTCGCTTGCAAAAAAAAAAAAGAAAAGAAAGAAAAAAAAGAAAAAAAAGCTATGAAATAAAACATGTCCCTTAACAACATCGCTATGGAATTAATTTTTTTTCCCCAGGGAAAACTGGTGTATTTTTTTATGAACAGTATCAATTTGGAGTGACCAAAAGATACTTGAAAAAAAAGTGGGCTTATTTTGATTTCTCATCTGGAATAATCATGTTCTGGTATTATATCTACTTATATTTAATAAATATGCATTTTAATTTATTATGTATACTCACATACTAGAGAAAGATATTAGTATGCATTTAATAAAACATATTCACTTGAACGTATGGAATACTTGGTTATTTGAAGTGAGCATTTCTGTTTGTTTTAAATAAAGGGTAAATAATAGAAATAATAATAGTCCGACAGAAAAGTCTGGGAGGTGTGTAAGGAGGTCAGAGCTAGCGGGGAGGCACCCGTTCTGTAAGTATTTGAGTAAATCCTAGCTGTATGCACACTGGTGTCAATGACACTTAGGCTACTGTGCTCATGTCCTCATAGAATCAAGGGAGATGTCTTAGGGTTTTACTGCTGTGAACAGACACCATGACCATGGCATCTCTTATGAGGACAACATTTAATTGGGGCTGGCTTACAGGTTCAGAGGTTCAGTTCATTATCATCAGAGTGAGAACATGGCAGCATCCAGGCAGGCATGATGCAGGAGCAGCTGAGAGTTCTACATCTTCATCTGAAGGCTGCTAGAAGATACTGGCTTCCAGGCAACAAGGACTAGGGTATTAAAGCCTATACCCACAGTGCCATGCCTCCTAATGGTGCCACTCCCTGTCCAAGTACATACAAACCATCACAAGAGACTTCATTATGAATCACGAAAAAAGCATCAACAGAGTAGGATATTTAACAAGATGACTGATTTTATTGTTAATATTGTGATACTCTTCAATGATTTTTTGGTTTTGTGTTCTGAGGTTTTAGGTTTTTTTGGGGGGGTGGGTTTTTTGTTTGTTTTTTTGTTTTGTTTTTTGTCTTGGCATTGTTTTTCTGTTTTGTTTCTTTGTTTTATCAAGTTACACAGTTTTCCTAAATAAGGAAATAGCACTCACTGTAACTAGGAAAATGGCAGCTGGCTCCTTTGGACATCTCAGGTCCCAGCACTCTCTGTAACTAGCATGCAGTTCAGAGAAGGGTAGTAGTGTTGGTGCTCAGACACGTGGGCAAAGGATTATTGTTTTCCTGCTTGCCTAGAGCTGTCTCGTTCACGAGAATAGGTGCCTTGTCTATCCAGTGCCTATGCCCTCTTGTCAAGGCATGAAAAGGTAGTCCTGACCATGAGGTGCTGAGGTAACGCATTCGCCTGATGACACACATCAGCTAAGAAGGAAGCTAAAGGAGCTACGTCCCCTTAATGCTTTGCAAACATTGGGTTTTTCCTTCAAAAAGAAGACAAGGGAATGATTTTGTTTCCCTCCATCTGAAAACTGTTAAAGAGGTAAGGAGTCTCAGGTCTGAGGAGGAGTGGGCTCAGTGGTTAAGAACACTTGTTCCTCTTTCAGAGGACCTGGGTTTGGTTCTCGGCACTTCCGTGGTAGCTCACAACCATAACTCTCATTCTAGGGAAACTGATGTCTTCTTTGGGCCTCACCGGGCACCAGACACGCACATGGTACACAGAGACAGATGTGCAGGCAAACACTCATAAATAGGAAACGGCAATAACAACACAGGCTAGACCCTTTTTTTTTTAAACTAGTAAATAAGCTTCTTGAAGAAGATAGGTGGTTTAAGGTAGTTCAGAGAAGTCTTAAGAATCCACCTTGATATCACGGCCTTTGTGGAGACTTCAAACCATTGGGAGGTTTCCTTTCTCCTGCATTTGTGCCACCAGAGTCAGAGTCCTGAGGAATCCTCAGTGTCACTGAGCACCGAACACTCCTAACCCACCTATGCGCGCTCTAACCTTTCTTCAATTTTTTTTTTCCTCAAGAGAACACCAAGCCCAGTGCTACTGCACGTACATAGAGACCCAGCTAACACAGGTTACATCATGTGAGGTCAAGATCAGAGTGGGCTACAAGGGGCAGTCGAGTCTTAAAACTAATGACAAAAAGCAGGTCATTGGGATGAATCTCAACCCTGAAAACTTAACCTGGCATTTCGGAGAGTCCAAATTCTGGGTAGATGATTCTGTCTGAAAAAGAAAAAAAAAATCAAAAGCTACTAATAATCACTGTGCCCTGTTCCCCTCTTTTAAAGCAATGGCTGGAAATGATCAGTCCTGGCTACATGGCAATTGCAGGTTAAAAACTTGGCAGCTGGGGCGTGAGAGATGGCTCAGCGGTTAAGAGCACTGACTGTTCTTCCAGAGGTCCTGAGTTCAAATCCCAGCAACCACATGGTGGCTCACAACCATCCGTAATGAGATTTGATACCCTCTTCTGGTGTGTGTGAAGACAGCTACAGTGTACTCATAAATAAAATAAATATTTAAAAAAAAAAAAAAACACAACTTGGCAGCTTCCCGTGGGTATCCAGGACAGACCTGTGAACAGCAGAAGGGAGGAAAGGGAGGGAAGGGGAGAGTCTGTCCTCTTGATTTCATCATTCCAAAGCTTGTTCTTTATAGTCACATGTGATACACAGTTACCTCCTTCAGACCATGCTTTGGCGTGCCAGGTGAGTGACCCCATGTACACAAGTAACACTGTCCCTTGCCCTCGGCACTCCCCGCCTACCTGATGCTTTTTTCCATCCAGGATCTTACAAGAACAGCAGGCACTGCAGGTTTTATTTTTCAGGACCGTAGGAAATGAGTCCCTCTCAGCCATGTTAAAGATGAGCATTGCGACAACCTGCTTAGAAGTAAATAGCGATGTTCAAGCACGCGTGTACTCGAACCTCAGCGCTGACGTTCTGGATGTGAGCTGCCAGACCACAGCAGAACTGGCAACACAACTCACGCCAATCAGTATACAGAGGTTGAGCGGTTAGGATGAGAACCAACAAAATAGGTTTTTTCCCTTGCAGCTTCTCATGGCATACTACATTAACATATGCAAAACTGTATGCACAAAGGAAATTTCCTCCTATCCTTCCGTCTCCCATTTCCTCCCTCCTGTGTCCTTCTCTGTCTTGTGACTGTTTAACTAGCCATCTAGTCTAACTAGCCATCTAGTCACCCTAGATAAAGGATGAAGGACAAACCAGACAAATTCCACTCAAATCTGACTTAGTGAACCAAGGTTTGTTGAGGTCAATATTGCCACATAGATGACTCAAAAGTAATGTCACCAAAAGGTCACTCCAGCAGGATCGTCAACTTGGATGGACACTGCATCCTTGGAGCGCCCTGCTGACTTTCAGAGGCTTAGGAAGATCCTCCCTCCCTTCCCATCCTCTTGTCTCACACATGATAGACGGTCACCCCAGGAATGAGCTACACCCCAACTCTCCAAAGGAATTTCACGTTTGTTCCTTTATTAAAAACTAAAGTCGTTTTGAGGTTAAGAAATCTTCCAAATATTTCCCAAAGTAAAAATAATATGCTCTCTTAGAATGTTGCTATTCTTAAAACTATAGCTACTTTGCCCTGGGGTAAGGAGGAAGAGCTTTAGTTCCCATGATCTCCGAATCTAACCTCTTTGCTGTTGGTGTCCAGGCGTCTGGCTAGCATATCTCTGAATAAAGAGTTTTAAAAGTTCTGTCACAGGAAATTAGGGTTCCTTTCTGCAGGACCTTTGTCCTGTTGGTGAGGGAATTTAACAATGGACTGGGAAGGAAACTGACCATTTTATTAAAGTTTGAGAGGAAAAACCAAGGGGCAGTCAAGCTACAAATGTCAGCTGGAACACAGAGGAAAACGGAGATGAAGAAGAGAGGAAGGGAGACCTGCCTTTTCGTTAGGGTCCAGGAAAACAAGAAAGTTGGCAAGCAGTACATCAGAGAAAGTGGAAATGTCCAGAGTGTGGAGGCAAGCATGCTTGAGATGTTGGCAGGTATTCAAAAAATAGATGGAGGGGAGTGGTAGTTTGAAGAAGAGTGGCTCCCAAGGGCTCATAGATTTGAATGTTTAGTCACAGGGAAGTGGCATTATCTGGAAAAATTAAAGAGATGTGGTCTTGTTGGAGAAACTATGTCCCTAGGAGTGGGCTTGGAAGGTCAAAAGCTCATGCCAAATCCAGTGTCTCCCTCTCTCCAACTTTGGATTGGAATGTAGCTCTCAGCTTCTGCTCCTGGGCCATACCTACTACCATGCTTCCCACCATGGTGATAATGGACTAAACCTCTAAAAGTATAAGTCAGCCCCAACTAAATGCTTTAATAAGAGTTGCCTTGGCCATGGTGTCTCTTCCCAGCAACAGAACAGTGACTATGACAAGGGCCCAGGGATGGAGACAAGTTACACTTTGTGACTTAGAAAACTGGGCAGACTTGGTAAAGATCAACAGATAACAGTCCCAAGGGAGTTGGGGGATGAAGGGACTCTAGCCAGCCAGAGCATGGCAAACATGGCTCTGGCAGGCTTGCCTTCTCCCGCATTCCCTCTGCCTTGCTAAAAACGGTTAGATTACATTCCTAAAGCTAGCCACCAAGGTCTATTCCCTTATTTGGCCACTGTCTCCTCCTAAAACTGACTCCTAAAGCTGACTAAGATTCAGCTATCAAAGTATTGAAATTCAACAATCTAAAGCCCCCATTGGCTCACCTAATTAACATACCCAATTAAAATTAACCACCTCAACCTAATACGGGTTTACCTACATAAACTGACATTTGCCTATGGGCCATGTCTGTCACCTATCAAGAGGCTGTCTTTTATCCCCCTCTGAGACAAATACCCTTTCCCCCTCTCCCTTGTTCCCTTCCCCTTCTCCCTCATTCTCTGTCTCCTGTCTCTCTCTAATTCCCTGTCCTTTGTCCCTCTGGGGCAAATAAATCTCCATTGTTCTGAGAACTTGGTCTTATGGCTCCTGATACTGATCCCGTCATGGGTAGGGGGAGGGGCAGTGTTTCTCCTGGTATATATAAATATAAATACATTATCTCATTCTGATGCGTAATCCTCCCAATACCTTAGCATTTCTTTAGGTTTGTTTGCTTTTCTGTAGGACCATCTAATGGCCCAGTGATTGAGAAGCCCAATTGGATGAACCCTTAAGGAGAACAACACTGTAATATTTGGGGCAACTTAGAATATCATGTCTTTCTACCCAGAGTCAGAGGTAGAATCCATTCCATTTTTCTGACTAACAGGAAATCTCTTTCCTCTCCTGGACCTTGACAAAGCCCTGATAACCTTGTCATACGATGTTTTAAATCTTA